AGAAGCTCGTTGGCAGGCTAGCCCATCATCTATCTTTGGGTCGGGGTGGGGGAGGTAGCACGATGGTGATGCAAGTTCGCCAGGTAAACCGGTCCTCACCCGGGGCTAAAGGGAAGGCCGGGGGCGATGACAAGACCAACAGTGGGGGGCGGTTCAGGGAGGGCGGTGCGGCGAGGTGATCGCAGGAGCTTCGCCGGCCGCCAGGGGAGGGGGCAGCAGGCAGCCCAGCTAGTGGTACACGAGGTGGTCAGAGCAGGAAGATGAGTCGGAGGTTGAAGACAACGATCTCATTGTTGATTTTGTATCCAACGTTCCAAATTGGCCGACTCACCCAAAACCAGTTTTCAGTCAATTTACTATTAGCCACGCCCTTATTTGGTATGTTTAGGGCATCTTCAACAGTTTGTTTGCTAGATTATTGATAACATATGGCACGCCATCAACCAACCCATTATCATGCAACTGCTCTAATAGATTGTATCTAGTTTGTCCAATAGAAGGTGAGAAAATAAATAAGGTGCTCTCTCATTTTATAGGCCTTGTTTTTGAGACAACATGTCCATCTAAGCTTGGTCTCAGAATAGGACTTCCGTTGTCTTGGGCGTACTTTGCCTGGTTCTTTTGCCCATCCTTCTCCTAGTGGCATGATTGCGTGGTTCAGAATGCACACATTCGTGAAAATTGGTGATGGCGGCCGGCGGCCACCTTTTACTATAAGTTTCGTCTTGTACCTAATTTTTTCTCTTTGTAGGGGTCATTCGCGCATGTTGCACCTTTGCTCGTGGCCACGGATGATGGGAGGAGCACCGCTGGGCTAGAGATAAGGAGGAGCGCCATCATGGCTAGAGAAGATGAAAAAGACGAAAAAATAAAGAAAAAAAGATCATCGGAATTTGGCGGCCAGAGGTCGGTGGGGCTGCGGGGTGTCGAACAGCGCAGGGTGGACGTTGGAGGCAAGGAACGCGGCGGAGGCGGGGCTGACGTGCAAGCGGTAGAGCAATAGAGAGAGGCGGCCACGCGAGAGGAACTAATCTTTTTCTAAGAATTGATTTTGCTCTCTCAAATTTGTGAACCGAGGGAGCACTCTTCTAAAATAACCGAGGAGCTAAACCGTTAAGGGTTCAGATAGGTTTAGTTTATTTAACTCCTCAAAATGAATTCTTTTAGAGTTAACCAGTTTCCAGGGGTGGTTTTGAGGGGTCTGACTAAAGATGCTTAGGTGGATCATACGCAAGCAGGGTTGGACTTGCCAGTGCTCCTAAAATCAGAGAAGGCGATGACTAGAACTCCAGCACAGCACCACATCAGGTTAATAATTTGCTTGCCTGGCAGTGCAATCCACTGCATGCTTCACTTCTACATTATCTGTGCTTAAACTTTTAATCAATGTATTATATCTCTCCATCTCCCCGAGATGATATTGGATCCACAGATTTTAAAACCTTCAGATTTGGTAGGTGGTACTCACACTTTGAGAGTAAGCTGGAGAAATGCCGATCGCTACTGTAACGAACACTTGTATTTAAATCTTCAGATTTGATAGGTGGTACTTGCACTTTGAAAGTTCACCGCCGGAGAGATCGCGACCACAGCAGTCCACTACTGCAGCCGATCGTGGTGCAGGCATTGTAGGAGTATTACTCCTATTTTATCATCAGTCAACTAAGATATTATATCTACCCGCAAAAAAAAAGATATTATATCTACTCACCGCTGACCAAATTAGCGCACAAAAAAAGGTGGCACTATTTTTACTTTAAAAGTAGGACTTTCCTTTTGAGGCAAGATAAAGTTACTTTAATTAGAAAAAAATTCTTAGCTGCTAAGCCAACCAGTCATTGATCACTACCATAAGCAATTGGGTCGTGATCATATATAGTCACTGCCGTAATTCCCTTCATGTTGCAACGAATCATTCTAACTCCCTCTTTGTTAGGTCACATGTTATTCGACCGGTGAGTATGGTCCAGGGACATAGATTTTGTGGTAGGATTGTTGAGATATTGTTGCTAGGCAAGTCCTAGATGGATGGCCTCGGGTTTTCTTGCTTTTTAAGTCGATTTGTTCAGTATTGATTATTGGTAATTTTTTAATGTTAAATCATATATAGAAGTGTGCACACTATGTGCCGGCAAAGCATCCGCCACCAATAGATGCTTCAAGATTCGAACCTACATTTTTGAGCTCAAGTATTCTTACATATTTTTCTGTATCCAGTATATTTTTAGACATTTTTATTAATTTTGGTGGGTCTCAAGATTTAATCAGATGTTCAATTTTCAAAATTTGAACTTCTTCAAATCTCATTCAATATTTATTGTTCATTTCCAGATACATTGCTAATTCAAATGTCAAATGCATTTCACTAACATTTCACCATTACTCTATCGGATTTCATAGGCAAGTGAGACAAAGTTCAGTATCCATTCTAGAACCATTTAAGGTACATTTCGAAGAAAGTAAAAAATTCAAACAAATTCCACAACAGTTTTCATACATTTTCTAATGCAATGGTATAATTGTTTCAGATACAATTCACAAATCATAACATATCATTCAGTGGCAATTCATATCTATTTTCAAAACATTTTAGAGCAAGTTAATAATTTATATATATTCTACAAAAAATCGTAAAATTTTGATTGCATTTCCAATAATACAATTCATGATTTTTTAGATACAGTTCACAAACCAATTATTCCATTCACAGTTGATAATTACAGATACATTCCATAGGCATTTCACAAAATATTCAATGACATCTCACGAAACTACACTGCAACAAAAAATCACTGACATTTCACGAGTACATTGCAACATGTTTTCATCTTATTTCAGTTTTGGTTTAGACGTAATTATAAATAACTTATAGACATATTGAGGTGCAATTTCAGAAATTTGATAGTGAATGAAATGAGGCTCCCAAACTATAATTAAACTGCAATGCTTTTTTTTGTAAACTAAACCATGTTTCAAAGTGATTTCACTGTATTATCCATATCCTATAGGGACAGTACACGAAGGAAATTTCAAAGCAGCTTAACCAACTTAACTTTATTTCACTACAGGGACAATTTCAAAGCAAAATACTACTACTACTCACAACCCCAGAATATATTCTGGCACAATCTAGTGATCTACTCCCTCCGTTTTTAAATAATTATCTTTCTAGCCATCTCAAATGGACTACAACATACGGATGTATGTAGACATGTTTTAGAGTGTAGATTCATTCATTTTGCTCCGTATGTAGTCACTTGTTGAAATCTTTAGAAAGACAATTATTTAGGAACGGAGGGAGTATGTATGA